ACAAAATAATCTGTTGTCAAATTATTTTTAAAAAATATTAGAGGTTTCAGGGTTTCAAATGAACACTTTTTTTATTTGTCCAAACTAATAGTCATGGAAATAAAAATGCTAGAAAGTTAATTTTCGTGTTCGGTTACATGTGTGAACCACTGTATTGAACCCAGTTCACTTCGCTCCACTCCATTAACAATCCTACTTGGGGGAATTTTTAATAAAATTGGAGGATAAGCTTCGGCTGATTAATCTTTACTGTCTCTTTCTTTTCAAAACCAATTAAAATGAGGTTAAATACATTATAGAAAGTTTCAATGAAGCGAGTTTATATTAAAATTGTAAAATCATTGCCTTTTGGCAAATTTTTTTTATCGTAAGATCTTATTTTATTGAAAATTCTACAAGTATAAAAATCGATACATGATAAACAAAAAATAGACTAATATAACACCCTCGAACCAAATCAAAATTCATTATTTCACTATACTAATTGTAATATTTAAATACATATTAACAAAAATTGCCAGTTAACACCTGATAATTGTCTAAAGATTGGTACCCAAGATATTTATATCCGCTTTCATTGTTATAATCTTGTCATTATAGTCAGGACTCAGAGTAGCAGTATCTTCGCAAGCCGAAACAGGTGTACCTTCGCAATTCAGTTCTTTGTAAAGTTTTACGCAATGACCCTTTTGGACCTTGATTGAGCTGAAAATCTTCTTAAAGTTTGGAGGTACATCTGTGCATACCTTAGAGTAAAGTGTAATGTCTTTCGAAATTCCTCCATAAAAAAAGTGTTGATAAATAGTCACATCAGTAGTGGCAGCTGAGTTGTCAGGTACAGGTATAGCTTCAAGTTTCTCACCAAAGAAACACGCCTACAAAATAAACAAAATAAAAATATTAGTTTGCGCGTTTTTTGTTGTAAACAAAAGATCAATTAAAGTCCAGAATCAATTACCATAAAAGCGGCAATAGTTAGAAATTTGAAATGATGCATCTTTAGACTAGAAGACAGTGGTAAATACTGAGTGTATTGTTTGCAATTGATGCTTCTTATATAGAAATAAAATGGTTTGTATTTATATACATGTGTACCGATACAATTCAAAACAATTGTAGTGAATTCATACGAGAATAGCAGATAAGATGCTTTGTAGTCTGCGCTCATTAGGAAAAAAAATTCGTTAGTGATTAAGAATGTTCCATGCACCAGCATACTCTTAGAACATAGCCGAGAAGAATTTTCCTTTCCAAAAAATCAGATAGTAAAGTTTAGCCGGGACAAACATTATGCGCTAATCTGCATTCTTAATGTGCATAGAGAAAGGGGCACTCACTTATTCTCATGCGCCAATTTTGTATTTTTCAATATGCATAGCTATAAATTTTTTATAATTATGCACCAATGCGGCACCAAATATTGTAATTATGCTGCTCATTATAAAGATGAAGGCAAAAAATTCGTTAATGTTAAGAATGTTCCAGTGCACCGGTCTGTTTAGAATATAGCCAAGAATTTTTTCTTTCCAAAAATCAGGTAGTAAAGTTTAGCAGGGACAAACATACATTTTAATGTGCATAATTTTTTTTACAATTACATATGCGCTAATCTGCATTCTTGATGTGCATATAAGTTCATTTTTAATGTGCATAGAGGGCGGGGGCGCTCCCTTATTGTTATGAGTGATACCTATTTAAGTATGGTATGTTTATTTTTTTACCATACCTAAATAGCGTATAATCATTGTTTTGCGTGAATTTTGCATTTTTCAATATGCATAACGACAGATTTTTTATAATTATGTGCCAATGCGACACCAAACATTGTAATTATGCTGCTCATTATAAAGAAGAAGGCAAAAAATTTGTTAAAGAATGTTCCAGTGCACAGCATTCTCTTTAAGACTGGCCGAGAAGAATTTTTCTTTCCAAAAATCAGATAGTATGAGTGATACCTATTTAAGTATGGTATGACTGAGCATTTTGGTATGGTATGGTTAGGATTATAGTTAAGTATGAATTCAGAGGATAGTTTACGTATAAATAATTTGATTTGACAGTGGCGATCAAATCGCAATATTTAAAAACATCAAATCACAATTGATAGATTCAATTACGTAAGTATGAGCAGTGGCATTGGACAAGAAATGATAGATCACCAAAAAATTGCTTTTTTGGTGATTTTTATGCAACTTGATATTTTGATAAAAAAAACGAGTCAAAAGAAATGCAACATGCATTTTGTGAAAGTCATTTGATTATTCCAAAATTGGTACATGTGTTAACAATCGTCAATAAAATTTTGACACATAAAATTACTATATTTATCAATTTAATAAAATTTTACTAGCTATTTGTGGAAATATATTATAATAAGTAATTATAATAAGTAATTTTAATACGTAATTTGTTGCATTACTTTTGATCGCCACTGTAATTAAGCATTTTGATATGTATTTTTTTACCATACCTAAATACGTAGTGTATAATCATTGTTATGCGTGAATTTTGCATTTTTCAATATACATAGTGATGAAGGCAAAAATTCGTTAATGTTTAAGAATGTTCCAGTGCACCAGCATTCTGTTTAGAACATAGCCGAGAATTTTCTTTCCAAAAATCAGACAGTAAAGTTTAGCAGAGACAAAAACATACATTTTAATATTTTACAATTACGTACGTATGCGCTGATCTGCATTCCCAATGTGCAGAGACGGGCACTCCCTTATTGTTATGATGTAAGTATGGTATAATTGAGTGATGGTTAAGTATGAATTCAGAGGATAGTTTATAATAATTTGATTTGATATATGTTTATTTTTTACCATACCATACCTAAATAGCATATAATCATTGTTATGCGTGAATTTTGCATTTTTCAATATGCATAGCGATAGATTTTTTATAATTATGCACCACCAATGCGGCACCAAACATTGTACGTAATTATGTTAATCTACAAGCTTACGTAATCATAATACATGTACATGTTCATGTAAACTGTCATCATAGAAAAAAGGAATTAAGAACTGTAAAACAATACTATAAACCCTGTCGCTTTACACTCACTCTTAATTAACACTTATATCAACTGCATTGTTTAATGCATACCATGTTGTTCTACACTAATTTTACTAATTAAAAGTGTAAAACAACATAGCGATAGGGTTTGTAGAACTACACATTTAATGTGTTGGCAAAAACTTCTTGATGTATAATTCAATTATTCAGATATTCTTTGTTTTTGAAAAATATAATAGAATAAGGCTTATTCTATCATATTTACGGATTAAATTTTGAATTTTCTTCTTAGTTGAGAAGTTTATATACATTTTATAAAAAATAAATGTTTGATGACTTTAGATGGTGTGCACCATATCTATCCAGACTTCTGATCTCAATTTTTCATAATTACATGTAACATGCATTGAATAATATAAAAGAATAAAATAAACAAAAAATTATTCCCATTAATTCTCTAATTTTAATTCTAACTTGAGACTTTCATTTTCCTTTTCAAGTTCAAATTGCCTACGTAGTAAATTTTCAATTCTTTCATAATATTCTTTACGTTGCTCTTTTTGTCGTTCACGTTCCCACTCCAACCTTAGTTTAATCTCTGCTTCTTTCTGTTCTATTGCCATTTTAACTTTGAGTTCACTTTCCTTCTCCATTAATTCCATTAATTTGTTATTGATATCTTGTTGAATCGTCAAAGCATTCTCATATTCAATCTCTCTTGCTTTCATGTTCTCGATTTCTTGTTGAGCTTCTTCCAATAAAGAAGTCTGGTCTTGTATTTTTTTCATTTTGTCAATTAATTCCGCTTGAAGTCTATCGGTTTCTTGTTGAGCTTTCATTTTGTCGATTAATTCCGTTTGAAGTCTATCGGCTTCTTTCTTTTGAAATTTTTGTATTTTTTTTTGTATTTCTGCATGTTCGCCTTTTAGTTTCTTTTCTTGTTCTGCTTGTTTTTGTATCTTTCCATTTAATTGTTGAACTTCTTTTTTGTGTCGTGCTATAATTAAATCGAGTTGAGTAATTTCTTTAATTTCTGCAGTTATTGTTGATGCTGCTGATTCAGTTTCTTTTGACTTTTTCTTATTTTTATTTATTTCTAGAATTTCAATAGAATATCAGAAAACATTTGTTTGATTAAAAAAGAAGTCCAAAAATTGACATTTACCAGAATTTTGAATTAAATTGTTGTTGTTGTAATCAGATAAATAATTTTCATATTCCAATTGATTTGCGATTGCACCCGCAACCAATAAATCATATTCTTCTAGAAAACGAACAGTTCCATCCTTTTGATCTGTAAAGGAAACTCCAATTACCGCTAGCACATTATAATTATTTTCATTATCTTTGATAAAACAATCTTTATATTTTCTCGTTTGTTCTGTCACTTTTCTAATTCGTTTATTGTCAACTGCGTCGTCATTATAAATTAATTTGACTTCGACCACCGCAAATATTCCGTAACCATCAGTCATGATTAAATCATTCTGACCGCAATCCGGACGCCCTGGAATCGGTTCCCACTCAAATTCCCAAAGATATTCAAATCCAGGTAAATATTTTTTCGTGTTATTTAAAAATATCTCTTGCCATTCTGCTTCTTGGATATTATTTGTCGTTAATTTAAATAATGGCCAATTTGTTCGTTTTAACGTGTCTCGTTCGATGATTGCTTCTTCGATTACGTAATGTAAGCGTATGTGTTGGATTGCAGCTGCGATTATTTGAGGAACCGTCTCTTTTTTCCATACCAATACACGTTGATTGGATGAATAATATTCGTTTTCGTTTATCGTTATAAGGTTTGGTAGGAATTGTGCATTTACTCGAATATTATGGAATTCTAAATCATTAGAATTATGAACCTCATTTTCTTTTTCCTTGTTTTCGTTTTCCTCGTCTTCTATTGTTTGTTTCGGTTTCGATGGTATTAAAGATAGAAAACAAGTCATGTTTTCATTAATTGAAGTGAAAAGTAATTTGAATTTTCGCTTTTCATCATTTTGGAGAATCTTCGCTTGCTCTTTGGTAATTACAATTTCGTCTTTAATATTTTCAGACATATCGATATTACTCTTCTGAGAATATACGTATTAGTATCGAGTAGCGCAAATGTGAACCTTTTTCTTTATATAGAAAAATACGTAGTACGTATTCTGTGTTACCATTGGTGGAACTTTCTCTGATATTTAAATACGTATACCGATACAGCGACCAATTTAGAAAATAACTTAGAAATTAGCGTTAGTGTTAAAAAATCAAATAAGTTATATACTGTAATAATTTTCAGTATCATGGATAGCTTTAAGGAAACAATATCCCGATACGTATTGCAAAATTTAGAATCTGCATTTCGTTAAACTGACTGGTTAACACTAACCGGATATCTCGATAAATTTTTTTCATCTCCGGTTTACCTAACACCCAAATATTATTAAAAAATTTGTTATATTAAGACATTAAATAAAAGAAATAAAAGCTAATGAAATTTCCTCCAAACCTTTATTGCGTAGTCGACTCGGCCTGTTGACTCTTCACCAGAAATGTCCTTTTGTAGTACTGTTGTGTTCCCTTCTATATTTAGTTGAATGGGTTTATTTTATGATGACTGGCTGGGGGCACCAGGTTGTTATGTTTGTTATAACAATCGATTGATCAAGGGATTTTTCGCAATGGGGTGGGAGCTAGACTGAATTATTTACGGTTGAAGGGTTTCTTCGGGTGTCCTAAAGGCTTCCTATGGCGACTTCTACACAAATCGACCTTTACTCGACGATGAGTGGGTGTTTAGAAGGAGAAATAGGATATAATTATTCTTGTAACAAGAATCAAATCGTTATAATAAAGTCTCGTTTACTCAATAATGATCAATGTATTAAACGTGACAGGACTTATTGAAATGGCCTGTCCAAATAAACAAAAATTAAGGCAATCTAACAGGACTTATTGATACAGCCTGTTCAAAGGACACAAAATTAATTTAACAGGACTTATTGATACGTTCTGTACAAAATAGCGATTCAAAAGAAATCAACAGCTTATTTAGAGTACATCCACTACTTGTAATTACTCACAAGGTTTGAAGTCTGACCAAGGAAAATAAAAAAATAGTGTATTCGCAAGTAGTATGATTATTACGAGTAAGAACTTTGTTATTTTATTAGATCAGAGCATGGTCAAAACATGTTCTCACAGACTATCGCTATATACAATTTTGAATTACTACGCTAATTCTAAGGTTAGTAATTTACATTGATTGTTTCTTTTAAAACGATTAAGCATCAATCGTTCAATGTCTTTCAATTGTCCATATGATTTATGATTGTCGTCCTTTCTAGTCACTATCGTTATGTGCATCAATAATCGTTCGAAGAACGACGAGATATTCATAATACGTACGTACATGTATAAGAAAAAAAGGTAACGGTAATGTTCATTCAATAATGAAACATTTCCAAAATTGGCTTTCAATGTAAATCGTTAATTATGGAAGGAGTTATTATGGAAGGATATTCATGTGGAAATTAAGGGTCAAAATTATGGAATTAAAGGATTTAATGTTACTTCGGTAACAGTACTATAAAAATATCTTGAGTGGTAAGTTTTTTAGCGATGTCGATTGATGCGTGTATGATCGCCGAAATAAATTCAGAACGCGTTGCTTCGTTGGCGTCGGTCATCGTTTCCACATTCGAAAATTTCAGAATTATATCGTCCATGCAATGATTGAAAGCCTTCTCGAAACTACAGAGTAAAATTAGTTATAATGATTGGAATTTGCGAGACGGCCCGGAAAATAGTAAAAAAGATAAGAATATTATCTACCAGGTATAAACTGCTTGATATTCGTAATATCTTCCAATGTCAAACTGCATTGCCTTTTATCAGAGCTCACAGACCATGGTCATAGGATCTTTTCACACAGCGACCATGGACCATACAGAGCTAAATCGCCACTTCCAATCCTTAGACCACGACTTCTAAACCCTGGACCATGCGCTGCATAACATCACATACTCAATCCTTGTTTGTATTTGCTAGAAATCCATTGATAGCTTGAATGCCATTAGAACTAAAATGTCATTAGAACTAAATTATATACAAAGCTGTTTAAAGATGAGTATTCTTTGTTAAAGGAAATTTATTGAAACGAATTATAACCACCAATAATCTTTTCCTCGTATTTTACGCGAATGGCAACAACTATCACACAAACGATGAAAGTCGGTATTCTTAATCCATCGCAGCAATAGCTTCATTTTAATCGATTTGTTTTTCTGATTATCTTCTTGTACTTTAATCCAGTCAATATTTTAGAGGTCTGATTCTGCGAAAGAATTGAAGTGAAAGTGCGAACTGGGTGTAAGGTCATCTTGTGTTCTTCGCTTCCTGGCACCAAATAATGATTGTCTTTATATAATGTTCCCGGCAAAATTTCATACAGCATAACTTTGTTATAAAAATCAACCGAATTAATGCGGGAGAAACGAACAATGACAAGCAATTTTGAGCGTAGTGTTGAGTTGTTTAAATTCGTTATGTGCCCGTTTTCCGCTGAAATCATCGGATCGATTTCCCTTGTATCTGCAGTTTGAGCGGTGCACCTGTCGATTTCATTCAAATTTAGCGTTAGATCGTCACGTTCGAGTAGTTTGGTGAAATCAATTAATTGAAAAATAACAGCTGTATTTCGACATGTGACATTTGTGAAGCTTGGTAACGAGTTATGCTCGATTGCAATTTAATTGATTAAGGCAAAAATCTGTTAAATCTTCATCAGAATGATATTCGAGAATCAATTCATCGGCTGTGACTAATACAGTAGGGACCATAAGTATCCGACCGCCCGGCATTACCCAAAATCATACTACATGTATAACGATCACCCAAATTTTCTGGGCGTAAAATGTAATACGACACCTGATCGCTTATACATTTATAGATTGTTAGAGCTTCTATATCTGATGTTGCATGTTTATAAACTTTCATGCCCCAAATACAATAAATCAGTCACTTTAGGAGATAATATCTCGATGTCCAGTGACCCGGTTTGAGCGAAAATACTACTATTCGATTGTCTAATCTAGATAAATCAAATGGTGAGATTTTTGCTCAAATTCGATCACTGGATGTCGAGATATTACATCATAAAGATATTTGTCGATCAATTTTTCATTAGAAATTGATCGCAAAAAAAATGAATCGGTCAATTTAGGACGTAATATCTCGATCCGATTCGAACAAAAATACTATTATTCGATTCGCCTTGACTAGATGAATCGAAGGATATTATTTTTTGTTTGAATTGGAACACTGGAGATCGAGCTATCACGTCCTAATTGGCTGATTAATTTTTGTTAATATCAAAAAAAAATGAATCTGCTACTTTAAGAGGTAATATTTCGAGGGCCAGTGATCTGATTCAAACAAAAATAATTCCATTTGATTCACCTCGACTGGGCGAATCGAATGGTTGTATGTTTGTTCAAATCGGTTCACTGAACGTCAAGAATTAGATTATTGAATATTGAGATATGTGTTATAAAATAACTGATTGTATTTGGGACGTGAAAGTTATGAACATACAATATCCGATATAGAAGCTCTGACAATCTATAAATGTACAAGCGATCAGGTGTCGTATTACATTTTACGCCCCTACTTCCAGCATGCACAGTGATAGCTGATTTGTAATTTATTTTGCGGAACGACTAATATCAGACCTTCGGGCCAACTTTTGTCTATCAACGTTTTAGGAATGAGAGGTTCGAATAATTGTGATTCATTCTAGCAAAAGGATTATTAAATATTGTGTAAACTCACTAAACCAACTGAATTTTGGCTGAATATCTGTTTTAATTATAAAAGAAAAAGCATTGGATAGATAAATATTTGCTGAATTCACCAATTTTTTTCTTCTATAACTTTGTTATTGACAAAGTCCATTATGACGCGACCCGGAAACACAATCAGCGTTGTTGGTGCAATTTTCTCTATTATAACAGTTCCCAAACTCCATTTTGACAAATGTTGGTAAAGCAATCATCATCGCTGGTACGCGTCTCTCCATTATCACAGAACCCGTCACCGTTCCCCAAGCATACACAAATTCCATTCTGACAATTAATGGAATCGAATCGCAATCAGTATCGCTGGCACAATTTTTTCCATCATAACATTTCCCCGTTACTATTCCATATCACCATTCTGACAATGAACGGATTCGCAATCACTTTTGTATAAGTACTTCTCTCTATTATCACAGTATTCCCAAGCCACAGTCTTATCATTAGAGTGGAATTTACTAATCCCCAAGTTCTGATTGGTTGAGGATATTAAACGTAAATTTTAGCGTTAGGGTTAGGGTTAGAGTGGAGATCAAAGTTATATGTCCCTGACATTTATTATTAGTGCTTCAAGGCATTTAAGCATTCGTTTTCTGTATATTTCATTTTTAATTTTCTTGTGTAGGATTTGTCTTGCCGGATTAATAAAAAATTTATGCATTTTTATTGGTTAATCTAGAAGACCCGGTGTGCAGTCAACCAATCAGCGATGAAAATTACTTATGTCCAATCAAAACTTGGGAGGGGATCAGTAAATGCATCAGTGTTCCTCAGTTTTTTCGCATGCGCAACTATTTAACGAATATAATTTAACCGTCAAATAAACGTGATTAAAAATTAGCGCATGTCAATGGTAGCTTGATAAAAGATAATCTACCTTTATCAGCGAGCAACAAGGTCACAATAATCACAATGCAAATAAACCGTAACGATTGTAGCAAGGAATCGTGGTAAAGGTGTTTTAGTATTTGAGTATCGGCGTGGATTCCAGGTATGCTAGGATCATTTCTCACGAAGTCTTACCGGAGGTTTTTATACTTGAACGTTCTCCGAAGCTGAGAACTCGAATTCCGCTATAGCACGCGAAAAATAACCTCATATACTTGGTATATAATTTTGGTTTTATTTTAGAATAAATGTATTTATAACAACTGTTATTTGTAACAACCGCATTTTAATTGGCTAATTAGGACCTGAGTTAGAGTTAAGGTTAAGATTCTGGATATGTGATTGGTTAACATTGAAGTTGTTACATGTAGTTGTTACAATTAGATTGATCCTTATAAAACCAGTTTAAACTGGTTTTATATATTATAAATAAACTTTAATTAGGTCAGACCGAATTGGAAAAATACCTATTAGATATTGATTGTAGAGTTTCAGATTTTGATTAAATGTATGCGTGTTATTTTAGACATTTAGGTATGTTTATGAAAAAATTTTATATTTACTAACGCAATATAAATTCATCTTTGAAAAAAATATCGCATTCATGTGTTACGAAAAAGAACTAACGCTGAATCAAAAGGATGGAATTATTGCACTGGGAGCACAAGGAATTTTGTATAAAATGTACATGTATATTACAAGAATTTAATAGGACCGTCGGTTCCAACGATCCTTCCTCGTGAAGATCGGACCGGACCGATTATCAGCCCTAGGTGTACTTTTTTTACTACGTATATACCGATACTTGTTTTCACACGATTTGTCACAGATAAAAATTAAACATATGAGGTCGATCAATTTACAAATCAATGTAATTGCATTTTTGAATTTTTCGTCTAAAGTCTCAGCCAAAGCACTCAAAGAGCCTTTAAATAAAGTCGTTGCCTGTGTCTCCGCAAACAAAATGATATATAGAAATGTAGAAAAATAACATCTCCCTATAGAATAATACACCTTCGAAATTGGCGTCCATTTTGTCTTCTTTCGTTAGATTATTCTCCAGTTCGCAAAATCTTGGCATGAAAAGTGATTCATCAGATGCGTCCAATTGAGAGCTTTGACAAACTTTTACCTCGAGCAGGTGGTATGTTATAAATAAGGCAAAGAAAATAAAAAAAAACTGGTTTTTTACTATGTAAATCACACCAAATTGAGTGATTTACATAATAAAAAACCAGTTTTTCTTGATTTTCTTTGCCTTATTTATAACATACCACCTGCTCGAGGTAAAAGTTTGTCAAAGCTCTCAATTGGTAAATCACTTTTCATGAGAATAATCAAGCAAAAATAGACAAAATAAACGCAGATTTCAAAGATGTATTCTATAAGATGTTATTTTTCCACATCCTATATATAGTTTTGTTCGTGGAGATCCAGACAACTTTATTTAAAAGTACTTTAAGTGATTTGGCCGAGACTTAAGATGAAAAATTCAAAAATGTGATTATATTGATTTTTAAATTGATCGACGTGACAAATCGTGTGACAGTTAATGATTAGGGGAGTCACAGATATTAAGTAATATAATTTTATTCCCCCAGGTAAGATTATTTAATATATAAGAATTTTTTTTAATATGAACGTAAGATTTTTCAAACCTCCTCCCCCTTAAGAAATTACGTAATCTCTGTCACTCCCCTTATTATGCAAACAGTCTATAGTCATCAAATACTTTAAATTACAAAGGAATATATAATACAAATATATTAGTATATTGTCTTTGATAACGATAAGAGCTATAATATGACGAATTTTTTTATTTGTTATAATATAAAATTACGTAGTAAGGTTATTATTTGATTTTCAACATATATTATATCACGTGTATTACTTTTAATTGGTTAAATTCCTTCATGCAATAATGCATTATTATTTTTTCCCGTAACATTTTATACATATTCTATATTTATATGGGGATCGTTAAAGCTGTGTAGTGAATTAGGGCTTAAGTCAACTCGGATAATCATAATTATCCGAATTGACTTAATGCACATGACCTATATCTGTAACACATTCAATGATTGGCTGAATTCTGCATAACAACAAATGTCTTTTGTGGTTTGACCCAGCAAAATTCTGGCTGAAACTCGCACCAACGGAAAGAAGCGCCAAATGCTCACTAAAAACACCACCGCCATGAAATAAAATCGCAACCTGGAGAAATTCGCAACACCAGCGAAATGAAAATGGCGGCCAAACCCACTCATAAAAACTAACAGCATACGCGATCGGTTTCCAGTTTTGTTTCGTACCAAGTTTCCTGAATGTGAGTATTTGGCGTTCTTTCATTTTTGGGTGTCTAGTTTTTTCATTTCGTTGGTGCCGTCGCAAATTTCCGGTTTGGTCTCGCCGGTCTATATTGCTCACATTTCTGGTGAATATTTTTGTTTAGATCAACAAAATCGGGACAATATTGGTGGAAATATTGTATCCAAAGTCGGCGCATGAAAAATCGCAAAATGACGGACGGATCGTGAGGCAACGATATCTCGCCGATCTTCAGAATTTTGCGAACTCGGGTTCGTTTGATTCGCCTAATCAAGACGAACATTCTTTGTATTCGGACCACAAAAATTGGTTGGATATTGGGAGAAATATAAGCATCCAAAGTTGACTTATTTTTCTGGGACCGCCAGTGTTAGTTAGGGTTAGTAAGGGTTCCCGGGTGTCCAGTTTCTCCGTGTTGATTTCGTCGCGACCGGATCTAGTGAGTTCTTTGGTGAATATTTGATGAAATGGAGGTCTTTGGATGGAAGTGCTCTTGAAAAATCAATTTTAACAATGTCAACAACAATCAAATAAAATCTTTAATTGGTCAGTTTATTTTTGCTGTCAACAAGAACACTGTATTAGTACTTTTAATGTGGGTTTATTCAACTGGTGAGCCAACGCTATATAGTATTTTTATTGGCTATTCAATTTGGTCACATGGTAACAATCCGGATCGGATTAAAAAATCACGTGCAACTACACGGCTTTAACGACCCCCGGATTGGATTATATATCACGTGAAAATAACTTGCTTTAGAAAATAGAACAATCATATGACGGACATTCGCAAAAACAGTTAATTGGTTCAGGGAATCTACTTTTATTTAATTTGAACTTTGTATTTTCTAAAATGTCCGTAAGAAGAACGTCGGTCGTGGTATGTATACTTAGTTTAAATGAATGGAGTGGGTAAAAACCTGTTGCAGTGCTACATACTCATTTCAGTATGTAGACACTGCAAAGAATAGCATTTTAACAAATTATTAAATTTTTAATTATAGCAAAAGAATGCGCCAAAACATCATAAAAAAGTGACAAGAAAGTTTGTGATTGACGCATCAGCTCCCGCACAGGATAAAATTTTTGACGCACAAGCATTCGTGAGTAATCAAATTTAAATAATAAATTCTTCTTTGCATTGAAAATACAAATAATTTCGTTATAACATCATTTCTGATCTGAAATGATGAAGGAAAAATTTTTACGTGATAACATAAAAGTCAACGGTCGTACTGGACAACTTGGTGACTCGGTCACAATCAACAGAGACGCAGCTGACCATAAAATAACCGTGACAACAAACACCCAGCAGTTCGCGAAACGCTATTTAAAGTATCTGACGAAAAAGTTTATGAAAAAGAATACAATTCGAGATTGGCTTCGTGTGGTTTCTGTTGATCGAGTAAGTTTTTTGAGTGGATGATTATTTTTGAATTTATTGATGGAAAATATTTAATTCGGGAATTTCTCTCCAAATAGACAACTTATCAGATAAGATACTTTAATATTACCAATCAGGAAGATGATGATGACGATGAATGATCCAAACTATAAATTAAATGTTGCTCTGAAAATAACAGCTATTTTTTTGTATTATATTAAGTCCATAGTAAAAGCATTATTGCCAAAACAATTGAGACATTACCTTCAATCGGTTTTATATGATTGAAATAATAAAATTATAGATGTTCAAATCAAAAAAATTCGAAACCTTTCAGGATAAAAAACTATACAAACTAATTAATAAATTATCTTTATTAAAAATACTAAAACTTTTGAAATTTATCAAAAAAATATTTTATATTATCAAAAGTTAACAAAAATATTAATTGATTGATAAATAATAATAGTCCTTAGGCGCACAGAAATATATAACTCGCGTTGCTGTTTCATATCTCCATGACCAGCTGTAGAATATTTTACAAGCCTTTAAAAGACCGAAATTATTAAATATAGGCATAATTAATATTTGCAAAATTCTAAGATGTTCAAAAAAATCGTTCGAAGTTAACTAGTTAGATGGTGGCTGATTCATAATATCCACGTATCGTGGTCGATGTCGTTTCGAGCTTGTAGTAGATCGACGTCCAGCGTTACTAGAAGGCGGTGGAGGGGTGAGTACACCATTTGTAGTTGCCATAGGCGGAGGGCTCATGACTTGGCTACTTCCGGTAGACTGTGGTAAAGAAGCTCGATTAGAAGGAGGTATTAATGCAGCCGAGTGTGTTGGTGATGTAGACTTTTCCCGAGAAGGAGGCGGCGGGGGTGCCACGTTAGCAGGGGTTGTGTCAGGAGCAGCCTAAATAACAAAGTTAAAATTTACTATGCAATAATATTGCGTAAACTAATGGCAAAAATTTGATAATCTTTAAAAAAGTATTCTTACATTTTTATTGATCCATCTTTTCTGCGCTGGATCATAATAAAAGCTGTTTTCTTCTCCCAGATTTGCATTTTTTCCGCCACCAGTAGTAGTTTCTTTTTTGGCAAACCATCTTCCAAACCAACCGCCTCCTCCTGCTTTCTTATCATCTGCCAAGAATAATATTAAAATTGACATTAGATATTTTATTATTTAATCACTACCGAATAAGTCAAAATTGGATACATACCTTTTTTTTCTTCGGTGTTTTGTACAGCTGCTTTATCATCTCGAGTTGAAGCTGTAGCAGTGTTATCATTGTTATCGTTATCTTTCTCCGATGATTTCGTCTCGTCTCGTGATTTCTTCTTTGCGCCAAACGCATTATTTCCAAGACCTAAATCGTCTTCTTCGTCTTGCCAGTTACTGGTAGTATTGTTATTCGATGGCACAGAATTAGAAGTAGCTGTTGGTACAAATGAAGCTATATTGCCCATTGGGGATATAAATTCTCCAGAACCGTAATTAGCTGATTGCTGTTCTTCTGTAACACCATTTTCTTCCGTTGTGGTGTTATTGTTCCACCAAGGCGAGCTGTTATAATTCGAACTAGCATCATAAGAAGGTTGATAGAAATTGTACCCATGTTGTGTGGATTGGGATGGTTGTTGTTGCTGCTTATTGGAATCACTTTCAAATGAATTTCTGCCAAAACCACTATCAGAGCTTGTGTTATAACCATCAAGATTATTTGATTGTTGCCAGTTCGAATAGTTATTATCATTGTTATAGTTAATATCATTATTTGAGCCTGCCAGTTGATTTGGTTCGCGTTGATATTCACCACTGTCTCTTCCGAAAAATCCGAAATAAGTATTTTGGTCATCTGTAGAATTAACAAAAGTACCATCCCCTTCCGGAACGGGAGTCATGGGCACTTGACCTTCAGAGTTTGTAGGACTGAAACCATTGTACCCTTGAACAGGATTTACCGCACGCATTCCCGCACCAGGAGTCGAAGATCGACGTTGTTGAGCGGTGATGTATCTTTGAGGCATTGCATTTGGCGTGGCAGAACGTCTTGTATCAAATCCTGTATCAATATGTGGTCGGAATTCAGCAGCAGATGCACTACGTGTAGGTACACCGACTGAATTCGTAGGTTGAGTAATGGAACTAAAGTGAGAAAATGGACCGACGGTATCTTGGGAGTGGATGGAGGAGGATGGTTTCTTTTCACCTTCTTCTGCAGTATCTCCTGCAATAAATTGATTGAATTTTCCTTCTAATGATCCCCATAGAGAATCTAATGTTGGTTTGGACATTTTCTTGGCAAAAGTCCATGAGGAAGATTCATTATTGTTACTAATTTAAAATGAATGATTAGAATTTATGTACTCTAAAAGTTTTTTTTTTAAAACTCGACTAAAATATAAATCAAAATTTACCCTGGAACATTATCACCATGCTCAAGCAAACGTTGTGTTAATTCCTTCAATTGTCTCAAGAAGCACTTGTGAAAATATGGCGAACCCTTGGTATATATTTTAACTATATTTGCTATTGATTCACAATATCTACACATTCAAAAAAAATAAATACATAAAATTTCGAGAAATATGTTCAATTTCGCTCTTTCAGAATTACAATTGAGGATAGAGATTACAATACCTTCGCGCTTCATTCACGTAGCCACAATCAACTAACCACCATGCATGAATAAGTTTGTAGGCCTGTAAGAACGGTAGACCTCCATCATTATTTTTATTTAATGTCAACCCAAATTCATAGATTTCGGTTAAATGAAGTGTATCCGAATCACGAAAATATCCCGTGAAAGAGCTATTAAGATAATCATTGCCAATCAGGCTAAATCGTGAATTGGGCGAGTCAATACCCGAGTGTATGGATGTTTGTGGCGATAGAAGATAGCTTTTTTACAGAAAGAATTAAAATTTGAATAGTTAGGTACATACAAAATAGCATTCTTTTCAAATAATATAGAAAATATAACTTTCAACATACCAGATATGAGAGGCAAAAATCCAACCGTAATTCTTTAGAGTATCTCCTAATGCTGTAATAACTTGACTATCACCTGGTGCTCGATTCGCTAAGACCATAGCGACAGTTTCGCGCCATTTTGTTAAACTCTGAATGGGGATATCTCCGTATTTTGATGGTGTATAGTTAACACCATTAGATATAATATTTGTGGGAGGAATGATTTGGGAGGGACTCATCAGTGACGAATACGTCGTTGATGTTATATTGGACGGAGGTACAGCTCGATTTAATAATGATGCTTGTGGTAAAAATTGATCGACTAGAATAATAATAATGCAAATGAAATAATATGTTTATGGTAAAATTCAATTTACTGATTTTTAATTTCAATAAAAATTCTTACTGGCATTTTGTCCCTGTCCAGAAAGCAAAGAGTAGAGCACTCTTAGACTCTCTCTCCCGTTGGATTGGTTAGGTTCGCATACTTCAGCACCAAGTTCCTGCCTAACAAACTCACTTACAACTTCCTTCCATAAATCCTTGTTAACACAACTTGCAATTATTAATGCATGCGACCAAAGATTGTTTCGCATCGCCAGCTGAACAGCTGAAACGCGATCACCCTTTAACAATAATTCTTGTAATTTATCAATAGAACTTGAATTTACAGAGTATGTAATAGAAGATGTAGATTGTGAACGGATGGGTTCAGCCATCTCTCGAGTATTATATCCCGAGTCGGCAGGAATCGTAAACTCAGCGGTCGATTCATCCGTATTATTGTTACTTGAAGATGATGGTATCAATACATTACGTACGGCTTCTTCAACCTTGGTACTTTTAAGAAGTGCCGAAAGTTAGAGAAGATTATTCGTAATGTTATTTAAGATAAAATATTGCAATCATATTTAGTTTTGATGCTCACTTTCCGATAAGATGTCCGTCATTTTCAATCATTACTTTAAGTAATTTCCATATAGTAGAAACTTCAGTATTTTCTTTCTCGATATCGGAAACCTCGTGCGATACCAGTTGGTTTTGCTTTTCGCTCAAACGAAGATCTAGATACTTTAATATTTCTTTTCGTTTTGCTTTCACGCCACCTTTATTATTATCCATTAACAAGGGACCAGGGAAATTTTCAAGTTTGGACAATGGAATGATATCTTTAAGTGTCCGTATAATGAATGCACCTGGTGCAGATTTAGTAATTGGAATGCTTTGATCCGTGCTCGTAAAGCGTTGGACTGTACGAGGAAACATGGTAAAAATATGTCCGCCGAAGCCAAAAGCTATCACAGGACAGCCTCTAGATCTTTGAAGAGGATCAATGACTGTGTCATTACTATAAGATTGATTGTGCTCATAGTAATTTTGTTGAGAATCAAAACCTCCATTTATTTGGTTAATTTCTGTAGAATATCCAACATGAGGTTGCATATACGGATTTGGTGATGTGGTGACAGTTTGTGTATTTGCATAATAATCATGTAAACTTTCTGTTTGGGGATTGTAGTTTTCTTGAGAGTATGGAACTTCAGAGACGTTGATGGTTGGCGTATCCAATCTCGAAGAATTATTATCCATAGGCCGACCACATTCACAACAAAATTTAGCATTCGACTTATTTTCACCACGACAATTAGGATCTGGACAAATAACCGTACTCACAGGTGAATCTGATAGTTGGTAGACGGTAGATAATGTTTGTGTTTCTAGTGACAGTACAGGTGGATGAGATGATGTTTCTTTTATCTGATTAGAGTCAACATTTTGATTCTTCGCCCATGAATTATCAAAAATTTGACCATCATTTCCGTTTGTACTATTTTCTTGTTGTTGATGATATTGAGTCCTGTAAGCATCATAATTTAGATGATCTCCTTCATACACTTGTTGCTCCCAACCTTGTCCATTATAATAACTATAATCAGAATAATAAGGATTATTAGTAGCGGGTGTATTTTGAAATAAATCTTGATCATCCCCATCAAGAAGACCAACTCCTTTATTAGTTTCGCCAAAATATAATTCTGCATTTTCTTGCGAGTCAGCAGCCACTTTACTTATTGTGTCACTGTTATTATTGTTAATATTGTCACCTAAAATATTTTTACCATCAGACATTAGTAAAGCCTCATCGGTTTTTGTAAGAGAAACAGTAGTGGACGTGGTTGTGGATGTATCCTTGAGGTCATTCACATAAGATGCATTTGAAATCTCTTCACTTTTTTCTTCTTTGACTATTGATGTAGTAATTTCTGAAGAGTTTTCCTGAGATATTGTTGTTACAGGGTTACCATCCACTAAATTTTCTCTAGATATTTCTTCTTTTTGAGCTGAGATGTTCCCTGTGGACTTTGATATTTCATTATTTTTAACATCCACAGCTTCATTATCTCGAGTTTTTGTCAAGTTCGAAGAAGCATCAATTATTTCAGGATCTTGTTCTTTATAAGAATGATCATTAGTAGACCGAGTGAGATCAGAACTCTGAGTTATATCATCAGATTTATGTTGCTCAATGTCACCTGCATTGAGATTTTGCAAATTAGAATTTATATTTAACTCAGTTACTGTATTAACTAATTCTTCGGATTTTGTCAAATCAGATTCCACCGACTTATAATTTATATTCAATTTATTATCGTCTTCAGCAGATTTTTCATTAGCAGAATTTTTTAGTTGTAAATCTCCTGTGTCCGATTTTTTTTGTGTAGCCTCTATTGTTTTATTCCCTATTGCATCAAAAATCGATTCAGGATCAAGCTCTTGGTTTGCTATTCCATTTAAATTTTCATTATTCGCTATTATAGACTGCTGTTGTTGTTGTCCCTCCGCAGTTACTGTAGGATAATATTGAAGATCTTGATAGATTTGATCAGATGATCCGGACAAATAATTATAATAAGCAGACGCATCATTCTGGTATAACCTAGGATCATAAGCTGTCTGGTCGTAATAAGTAGAATATTGGGAAGCATCATATCCTAAATTATTATTATTAGTTTGTTGTTGAACATTCTGATCCTCGGGAGCATTAGGATCTTTCTCGGTTAATCCAATAGAATTGCTAGACAAAGAATCAAAAAACGCGATGGGATCGGTATGTGCTACCGAATCACTTGGTGCGGTCTCTTGCTGTTGCTGATGCTCGGTGGTGTTGGCTGCTTGATATGTCGGAAGCGGCTGCTGTTGTTGACCGTTCAATGTGGTCGCGTCTTGAGCATGCGAATAATATACATTATTGGGATCATTGGAATAGAATGAAGGATCATACGATTGATTAGGATCATAATTCTGGCCGTAATAATAGCCATACGAAGAATCGTAAGTGCCTTGCCCGTGCTGCTGTTGATTTGGATCGTAATACTGTTGTTGTTGTTGCAAATAATCATGGTTATAATACTGAGAATAATCCTGACCATTATAGTGAGACGCATCATAGCTATTATACCCCACTGCATTACTGTCATATATTTGGCCTTTGCTATCCGCTGGCAAAGTTGCAGTATTAGTAGCGGTAGTTCCATTAACCGCATTAATAGCATCCTGCGGTTGTTCGGCGTAGTAAGAATTACTATTGTTTACATTATACTCGGTCGTCCCTGTCTCGCTTACGTACTGAGCCATTGTAGTTGTTTGTGTATTATTATTATTAACATTAATATTACTTTTAATTTTACTATTATTATTGTTCATGCTGCTTTCACTCCTTTAAATAAAAGAAAGCAAAATTCCAAAAATTAGTTAGAGCCTATTAACAAAGCAACACGTTTTCAATTCAAGAATTAACCTTTAGACTAGTGACCAAATTTGTATGATATCACCGAGGTGCTAAGCCACGACAAAAAAAGTTAGGGGGTGACAAATATTATCGGATGGCCAAATCTTAATACAAGGGCAATGATATTTATTTGCTAAGAGCTTGATCTTGGATAGTACAAAATTAAGCATTTTGATTGGCTAGAAAATCTTACCTAGAAGGCACCTATATCAAAATAATGTTATCTAGTATATGTCAGCACCCTAATCTCACTCATATTTGTCACTCTTAGAGAATAAGGCAAGTTTCATAGGCAAATTTCGAGATACAAGCATTTGAGGATGTTTCAGTTAAATACGTAACATATGAATGAGTTCACTTCTCTAGACTTCTTTTCTGTCGAAAATTAATTATATTTAACAATTGAATTGTGGCAATGAAAAAAAGGGTACCGAAAGAATTAAAAACGCAACACAGTTTGAGAAGTACGTACACAGTGCAAGTCGATATAACGGACAATAAGTGAAAATTCGATAAGGTCCAGAACGAATTTTTAAAAATGTTCACAATGGACAAGTCACTTATACGTGTAGTATTTACGCCTGTTTTCAACAAAGATTATTATTGCAATAATTTTTGCAAGCTTTCAAATTTATCTGTTAATATATAACAAGCTTTCCGATATTTTATTAAAATCCTAGAAGTCTCTGTTGCAGACAAGTACAGTCAAAACTGCTTATAACGAGCTCTGGTTATCTATATAATTAAAATCTCGATATAACAAAGTGACTTGGGGCGTGCCATTTATCAACCATGGATACATGGGTCAAACTACTTATAGTTGTTATAACTAGCCACAATCAGACTATGGAGCTGCTATAATTGAAAGAAAGTAGCTGATAAATGGCACGCCCCTTAGCAATTCGTTATACATGTAAAAAGAATTAATAAACAATAAAAAAAGGGAAAAAATGAATTTTACTAATCCAGTTTTGACTGATACTTGGATTATTAATTTAAATTTGGAATACAATGAAAAATATAGAGCAATAGTGAAATAGTATGACACAGAATACAGTCAATTCTCCCTCCAAAGTGTATACTCTCTCTAAATGCACGTTCTTGTTCAGTCCCTAACTACCTTTAAATACACTACTCCCCATAATGCAATTTCTCTCAAATGCACGCTTAGTCATATGGTCCCGGCGACTTGCATTTGATTATATTCAGTTTTTTCTAAGGTTTATATTATACATTTTACCAAACTTTTACCAAATAAGTAAAAAAGAAACTTTGCCAAGTTGCACATTAAGTAGTGTATACTTTTTTAAAAGAGTATCAGCTAACAATTAGGATGCAAAGCATCAAGATTTTCGCCAAATCGGGAGGTTAAAGCGGAGTAGTTTCATTAATTATCAAATTTTGCTAGCGTTAGATGTTAACTTTCAGACTAGATAGCGATAGCTATATATATAGTTGTTATCATTATCGTTAATAATTTTGCGTGTTACACATGATCTTGCAATTGGATTGGATTGGTCTATTTACACGTGACTATTTCCCCAAATCAGCAACAGATAGATCATCTGAATGTGACGTTATATTGCTTTGGCTATATAATCCGTTAACATTAACAATAATCTAAAAAAAACCTATGGAACAGCCAATTCGGTATACATATGATTCAGAATCTGGGGAAGAGGAGGAGGATTATGAGGATTCAAGCGATTCACCCACCCCCATGTTACTCTTATCCCCACAAAAAATAAAGAAAGCTGCTGACAGTAATGCCCATAATAAAAAATTGCTTTTTGGACGCGTTCTACTGGTTGGAATTGAAGGTGGTGGGAACCTGTTTCTTTCTTCGATAAAGAATAAAAATATCATTGGAACACTAATTCTACCAGGAAAAGATTCGGTAAAGTTTATCAAGAATTGACACATATAAAACTTTATCAAAAATTGATCTTTTATTACTTATTTTTTTATAATATAATAAAAGATTCCACCAGATCCAAATAATTCAGAAAGTATTAGTTTAATATATGAGCTAGAAGAAGCTCCTGACGTCCTTATTGTGCCTTGTAGACAGCAAATTCCGACCGAAAGATGTGCAGAGTGGACAAAGGCATTGTTTAAGCATGTTGATGTTCAAAGGTACGTTTTTAAAATTTAGACAGAACGCAATTGAATCGCTCTCCATGGATCAGAATAGGTAAGCTTTTTTTTTCGAAAATTTTTGTTTGGTATATAATAAATCTTATTAACTCAACGCGCCATTATTTTTTACTAGATGCGTGGAGAGGGTATCTGTGACAAATATTTATCATTCTGTTACTGACGAATCTTAATCTCTCATCACTTGGGGAATAAAGTGTGGTCGTGTTTGATACTTTTGCAGCCTCGTCATATATAAACGTCGATTCTTACGAAGATAACCGGTATCCACCATTAGTTCGAATATTACAAACGAGCAAGGCAACCTTAGTAAGAAAAATGATTTATTTATTCTCAAATCAATTACGAAATAAATAATCATCACGAATGGATATTATCGATTCAAATGAAAAAATTTAGATTCAAGATATACCATTATACGAGCCTCCTAATCTTACTCGTGACCTGAGTGCAGCCATATTGAGCCATGTAGCTATAAGCAATTCTCTGTTTTTTTTTTATCCAGCGTAATTAATTCAACGAATATTGATTTTTCTCTTGCATTTCAAGTGCGAAATTCGTAAAATCCCTGCCTATCTATTGCTCAGTCTTCTAGACACTCAACACGGGAGATTCGTGGCAACCTCGAGCACACTACAAGCTTTCCAAACGACATGGGAGAAACTTGTTGCTTCTCATGGAGTAGAGCAAGGTATTAGTTTCACGGCTGATATTCAGTCAATGTTCAAAAAGAATGAACGAAAGGGTAGAGATATCTTAAGTGGTACTCAATCCCAGTTATATTTATGATGTTTGGAAAGTATTCATAATAATATTTGTAATGTTTACATACAATAGTATGTGAATTAAAAATAATTGTAAAAAATGTAATAAAACTACTATTAATAACATTGTTCGGATGTGTAAATTAAAAAATGTCTTTGAAATATTAAAAAATAATGCTATAAATATTCATTCACACAACTAACTATTAAAAAGTTCATATAAAAAGAAGATAAGCTCTGTTCGCTCGCTTGATTGACAAGCGACACTACGATATAAGGAAGATGAGGAAATCATCTTGCTGTTCCTTCAGTTGTCAAAAACGCAGCACCTAAAGAAAGAATTCGAATTAATTAAAATTGTAAAATGAATATTATTTCTTACAAGAACAACATACCTCCACCGTATCCGTAACCCTGTATTACAGTTAGATGAATTTTATAAATGAATAATTAGATAAAATAAAATTCCGGGAAAATAGTTAACTCATTTTCATAAAACTGACCTTTGGACCAAACTCTTTAGAATAACAAAGACGACAATATATTTTGCTATCACGATCTGTCATATTAGTAGAATCTAAAAGTTTGCTGCACTGTGTACATCGTAAACATAGTTTATGATATTTGACACCTGCACCCAACACCTGTCGAAAATCATTCGATTAATAATAAGAAAGATTTTTCGTTATGCAAGACAAAAAGATTTTGAAAGTACCGCTTCAGCCGCGTACACTGCCTTAGAACAACGTGGACATATATCATTGTTTGCTGGATGACTCCACCGTCGGCTCGAACTTCTTTTTGCTTGTGATTGACTACTAAAGAATCCGTAAGAGGGTGTAATCGAATGTGTAGGAGACATGGTGGGTGGTGATTGACTAAGTTTTTCAGATGTGTGTGACTTTAGCATCTCATTCTCATCTTTCTTATTATCAACTGGTCTTTCCGTATTCAAAAACGACGTGCCAGAAGCAAAACCATATCCTATATGATTATTTACGTAGTGTCAATAGAAATGTATTGCAATCTTGTTTAATTGGATTATTTTAAATACTATATTATATATACCTTTAGGGCCAAAACGACGCCCATGACAAGTTCTACAATATGCCTAATAGAGAAGAATGAATTATCAAAAAGAATTATAAGGTACATATATAGCTTTCATTATCGAAATTGCTACTTTACCTCTCCTTCATGCTCAGCTAGAGTGTAAGAGTCTAGCCGTTTTTTACAGTCCTACAGAAAAGAAATAACCTTAGAATGACATATACTTCTACCTTACTCATAGTTTAAACGTTGAAAACAACATACAATGCATGCGAGGCAAGCTCTATGCCAAGGACCGTTTGGGCCAATAACCTAAATTAAAAAGAAATGGTTGAAATGAGCTGATGAATAACAAATGTGAAGTGAAAAATGTCAGAATTAATTACCTGCTCGGCCATGTAGACTGAAGTCTCGCAACGCGGACATTTAGGAGTACCTCCCCAACGAGAGCTCATTTCAAAGTGTGTAAAGAGATAAAAAGGTAAAAAGGTGAGAAAAGAAAGAAGGTATTACTAAGGTGGTTCAATGTGAAAGTTAATATAAGTAGTGACTAAGCAACAAACTCTAAGGAGTATGTCGTATTCAATGACAAAATTGTTGCGTGTAATTTCTACACAACAAAAAAATGGTGACACAGACAGCGTGAATATATCTATTAATTTATCTAATTTATCTACAATTTATCAATAGCGATAGAATTTAGTATTTTGGTCAACTTGAGGCTTTGAATCTGATTTTGACATTCTGCAATCTCCACAGCGAACATTTACTTCATTTTGCATAAAATAACATTACGAAAAAAAATCTTTGTCATGGCGACAGAGAGTGTAGTAGATCCGACTCAGTCCGGAGTCGATGTTCAACCCACTCAACCTCATGGTCTTGAGCCTGGACCAACTTTTTCGAACATCATGAGGTTGGCTTCTTTTTGACTTGAAACTTTCCCTCTACTTTTGATTCAGATATTATACTCAAAGTTTTCATTAACTCTAAAGTCTTTTAACTCTAGTTCAAAAGACAACTATGTCCAAATACACGCGGGACACGAATCACAACACAGCACCATGGCGTTAATCTTACTATTGGCACTTTTTGGCTTTCAATTTGTAATTTTGTTCTGGAAACAAAGACATTATCGATCTTTTCAAGCTGTTACGCTAGTTGGACTATGGTCAGTATGATCAATACTTGGAATTAATTGAATAAAATCATTTTGTATTTATTTTCCCTATTAAAATAGGTTAATACCAATGTATATTTGCATTCGTGCTCAATTCTGGCGATTCCTTTCAATTTGGGTGTTATATTCACTTGCAAATTTTCGAGGTAAAAAATATTCATAACATGCCTGGTTCATGGACAATATAACATATACTTATGCTTGCCTTTTATGACATATCTAGTAATATACCTTGCATCGAGAAAACCTCTGGACCATAAGACACCGAGGTATTGTTTCCTTCTATAATATATTTTAAATTTGTAGAACATGGTTTACTTACATCAATTATATCTTTATAATAGACTCGTCTATAATTGGTTTTCCATCGTTTATAAATTGTGTTATGCCGTCGGTGTAACAGGCTATGCCATCTTAATGCTTACATTTTTTGGGATTCTACAGTTATTTTATGATTCAGTCGAAATTGCAGATTTGGGAATAATTCTTCTGTCATATGGGTTATATTTTGGGTAAAAAAATCAAATCGGCTGCTTTTTATTATCTCTACTGAAATTTTTTCACAAAATACTAATACTAATGTATAAAATTAATTAAAATTTCACAGTGTATTAAGTCGAGATTTTGTCGAAATTTGCACAGATAGAATGGCCTCAACACTCGGGTACTACAATAAAGACGGATTCCCCAGAAAACATCTTCGGGCAGTAATTTGTGCTGTGTGTGGTGGCTCAACCGAAAATAAAGAACAAGAAAATGTCCATCAGTTAACTTGTCGTCATGTGTTTCATGAAGAGTGTATACGTGGATGGTGTTTAATTGGAAAAAAAGATATTTGTCCATATTGGTACATGTTTTTTGTCGTTGGTTTTTACGTCTTTGTTTGCGAAAAGAAACCTAACATCATTCTTTATTTGTCGAAAATCCCCGTCGATGGTCATTACAGTAAAGAGAAGGTTGATATGAAAGAATTTAAAACAAATCCGTAAGTTAAAACAATCTACTGCTTTTTCAATTGGCGTATGGTAAAACGAATATTTCGATAATTTATTTCAACTTAATTCTGCAGATGGGACACACAACAGCAACTCTATCTTAGCTTACTTGATGGTGTTCGTTATTTAGTCGTGTGGCAACCCGTAAGTAACAAGATTCAACTTTTATCTATTATATATATATAACATTCGTAAATCTTTTTGCATGTACATAATAACAATGAATCTATTCTATTTTTAGATAATTTTTGCTACTGTTCAAGTAGCATATCATATTTTTGGACTGGAATAATTTTTTCTGTATAAAAATATATTTGCTAGAGAAATTTTGTATTAAAAATATAAAGTCTTAATTTCTTTAATAGACTATATAAAATTCCTATTATTTATAAAGATCAGGTGTAACATACCAACTTGACCAATCCAATTTTAAGATCATGTGTAACACGCAAAAACGAAAAATGCTCACCACGAGATTTTAGAAAACCACCTTATCTAATAAAACTTCTAATGAATTTGATAATTAGTGAAGCTACTCCGCTTTAACCCTCCATTTTGGAGTGTAGTTCACGCTAGAAGTTTTTGGGAAGAAGAGTAATATGAGTCTCTAATTCTGACTTTCCCTCATAGATTTCGTCATTCTGTGGAACTCTAGGCTGTCATTATCGTGAACTACCGGACCTTTTTCTGGTCATTCGTGGATTCTTTCAACTCGCAATTAATTTGGCGTTTTCAGCACTGTTTACTCTGTAGTCTCCGATCATTGCGACCTTTCTGGTGAATAATGTTCTATTTCAAGTTGCCGTTTGGAGTGTTGGGTGGCGTTTTGATCGGTCATAGATGATTTCTAACTGGAATTGTTAAGATTCCGGTGGAAATATATGTTTCCACCATTTCTGGAACTGTGGGAACTGGAAGCGGCGTTTTTGTAATTCGCTTTTTCTTGTTCTCATGGTTCTAGTTTCCCTTGTTGTCGGGTTCTTTAGAACCAGAGGAGGTAATTCCGGGTATCGATGGCGGAATTTTGCCGATTCTGATGATGGCTGCATTTTCTTTGATCTGTTGTTGTTATTCTTGTAACCAGAGGGAACAGTAAGTCCTTTCACATCGGTTTGGGCTCCTTTATTTGCCATTAGCAAGTTTAGTTCCGTTTGGCTTTTTATTGATTCCGAGAGAAATGTTCCGTGTACTGATTCGTTCCTATAAGTTAATGGAAATAAATTGCGTTGTTTCCAGTAATGGTTTTGATTTCTTTGGCACGCACTGAATTTTGTTCATTCCAGTTTCAGTTGCTTTTTCGTGGTGAGCTTGCTTCTATTATTGAATTTTTTTGACTTCTTATCACCTTCTTTTCGTTGTTTTTATTCCAGTTTGTTGATGACGAATTCGCAGTGTAATAATATCCAAATTTGCGTCAATTTTCTTGCTTTCTGAATTTATTAGTGAGTTTTGTTTCAAAGTTTTGTTGATGCCGTTGCAATTCCGATCGCACTTTCTAATTACATTCAAATCTGTATTTAATTTTACATTCGCTTTTTACAAGAAATAGGACATGCAACACGTGATGGAAAACCATATTTTTTTCTCAACTATCTATAATGTGTGATTGCCGATTCACGGGAAAGGTTAAATAAAAACTATAATAGCAAAAAATTTGAAAGCCGTTAATTCATCATTTTATAATACCTTAGTTCATCTGAAGATAAAGATGATACTGCTGAAGTAAATGACGTGAATATCTTCACAGTCGAACAAGATTATCTATTCTGTTAAGAATTTTATATCTGTGGAACTTATGATAATCTTTTGTGGAATAATCATGACATGTTGGATGAAAAAGGTATGCGAGCTTGGAGAGCAAAGGAATTGGAAACCAAATTAAAAAGATATATGCCAAGTATATTGTCAAACAAACTTGATCACAACGAACTTGGTGAGCTCGAAATTTACCAAAAGCAACGTTGAGAAAAAGGTGCGGATTAGTCAAGAGATGCCATCTTTAGACTTGCTTATTATAAAAGAACTTGTAGAAATACATTTTGCACTAACCAATAGCCATGCAAATCTTTTTCGTAGCATTCATTGGGTTGCATTGGAAGTATCTGCAAAGCTAATTATTAAGGTTGGGAATGATAGAATGTGAATATAAATGTATGTAAAGATCTTTTTCTGTATAAAAAAAGAATAATTTCTTTATTTGACTTCTCTTACTAGTTAACACATTTTTTGTGGCAGATCATGGTGAAAATGGATCATGATGAAAATCACATGATTTTGTTATATTGTAGATCCTAATTACATTACAGGGTTGGCTATAAAGCAAATACATATGTCATCCAAAACCATAATATCACATCAGTATTACTGATGATTTTTTTGCTTTTTATTTTTGCTTATTATTATTATTTTTTGGCATTCATGTTGCATTGATTGTCTTTAATATTCATGTTGCGTTGGTTACTTTTGGTGATCATGTTGCGTATTGATCCCTTTGGCATTCACGTTGTGTTGGTTGTCTTTAGTATTCATGTTACGTATTGGTTGTCTTTGATATTCATGTTGCGTGTTGGTTATCTTTGACATCCATATTGCGTTTGGTTACCTTTGATATCCACGTTGCGTTGGTTACCTTTGGTATTCACGTTGCATATTGGTTGCCTTTGGCATCCACGTTACATTGGTTACCTTTGGTTATCATGTTGTGAATTAGTTGTCTTTGATATCCACGTTGCGTTGGTTACCTTTGGTTACCATGTTGCGAATTGGTTGTTTTTGGTATCCACATTGCGTTGGTTGCCTTTGGTATTTACGTTGCGAATTAGTTGCCTTTGGCATCCACGTTGCATTGGTTGCCTTTGGTATCCACGTTGCCATGTTGCGTATTGGTTACTTGTGTTGGTTACCTTTGCCATCCATGTTGTGTTGGTTGTCTTTGGCATCCACGTTGTGTTGGTTACCTTTGGCATCCATGTTGCGTATTGGTTACTTTTGGTTGTCATGTTGCGTATTGGTTGCCTTTGATATTCACATTGCGAATTGGTTACCTTTGGCATCCACGTTGTGTTGGTTACCTTTGATATCCACGTTGTGTTGGTTACCTTTGATTGCCATGTTGCGTTGGTTGTCATGTTGCGTTAGTTACCTTTGATTGCCATGTTGCGAATTGGTTACCTTTGGTATCCATGTTGCATTGGTTACCTTTGGTTTCACGTTGCGTTGGTTGTCTTTGGTATTCATGTTGCATATTGATTGCCTTTGGTATTCACGTTGTGTTGGTTGCCTTTGGTATCCATGTTACGTTGATTACTTTTGGTATTCACATTGCGTATTGATTGCCTTTGGTATTCACGTTGCGTTGGTTACCTTTGATTACCATGTTGCAAATTGGTTATCTTTGGTATCCACATTACGTTGGTTGCCTTTGGTATCCACGTTGCGAATTGGTTGCCTTTGGTATCCACGTTGTGTTGGTTGCCTTTGGTATCCACATTGCGTTGGTTGCCTTTGGTATTCACGTTACGTTGGTTACCTTTGGTATCCACGTTGCGTATTGGTTGTCTTTGGTATCCACATTGCGTTGGTTACCTTTGGTTGCCATGTTGCGAATTGGTTGTCTTTGGTATCCACGTTGCATTGATTGTCTTTGGTATCTATGTTGCATATTGGTTGCCTTTGGTATTCACGTTGCGTTGGTTGCCTTTGATATCCACATTATGTTGATTATCTTTGATTATCATATTGCGAATTGGTTATCTTTGGTATCCACGTTGCGAATTGGTTGCCTTTGGCATCCACGTTGCGTTGGTTGTCTTTGGTATCCAAAGTTACCATGTTGCATATTGGTTACTTGCGTTGGTTGCCTTTGGCATCCATGTTGTGTTGGTTGTTTTTGGCATCCACGTTGCGTTAGTTACCTTTGACATCCATATTGCATATTGGTTGCCTTTGATATTCACATTATGTTGGTTGCCTTTGGCATCCACATTGTGTTGGTTGCCTTTGGTATCCACGTTGCCATGTTGCGTATTGGTTACTTGCGTTGATTGTCTTTGGCATCCATGTTGTATTGGTGTTTTTGGCATTCATGTTGTGTTGGTTACCTTTGGCATCCATGTTGCATATTGGTTATCTTTGGTTGCCATGTTGCGTATTGGTTGTCTTTGGTATCCACATTGCGAATTGGTTTCCTTTGGCATCCACGTTGTGTTGGTTGCCTTTGATATTCACATTGTATATTGGTTACCTTTGCCCTGTAAAAAAAAATAAAAAACTAAAATCAGGAAAAAATCCAGTTTTTTAGTTCCGGAAAATCACAGGTTTTGTTAACAAATTTCCGGATTAAAATCTGATAAAAAACTGCTTAAAAATGAAAAAAATGGGAAAAATAAAAAAAATATCCAGAAACTTTGGGACGCGATATCTCGCGAACCACGGAACCAATCCGGACGAAAATACCAC